CTGTGTGCAAAATTACCACCTGCAGGTAAAAACGTGTGTGATGCCCACTGAAAGAGTTTGCAGTCCTTACTACTGCCAGAGTGTGTGTGCTGAGCATGCAGGCTGCCATGTCACAGGGTCTGTGGTGCCCCTGGCTGTAGTGGGCCAGGGGCATCACACTTTTTGCTCAATCTCTGCTGTGGATAGAGAACTTGAGGTGTGGCTGTACTCCAGTTCTGAGCACAGGGATGTTACCCTGTTTTTGGACGTACCGGCATCATCTTCTGAAACTCTTAGACTGAAATCTGGAGGGCAGGATCTTGATCTGTTTGCAACTTGGAAATGTGATGGGAAAGACTTCTGAGTCGTATTTTGTTGGACTTGTCTTGAAAACAGTTATATGTTGACTCCATGTGCATCAAAAACAGTAAGTCTGGATAATGCACTTTGGAGTTTTTAAATCTATACTGGGGAAATAGAAATTGCTGAAATGATTGATATAAATGTTTATTCCTATGGACTTTTCATTACTGGATAGATACTTTAGACCTATAAAAGCTGAGCTGAATAGGAGGACCCCATCACACTAGACCTGCTTATTCATCCCCTTTTTCCCTACTAGTTGGGTGAAGATAGCTCTGTCAAGAGATTTAAAACTTCTAGTGGGGATCTAAGATAAAGTTTCAGGTCAGTTTTTGTGTTTGTGGCAGGGAGGGAATGTCACGCACAACAAAACTATTTTGATTCAGGGAATTTCCTTCAGTTTAGTTTATTGCCAATGAAGATGAAGACAAACAATTAAATAAACAGAAAGCACACCTTCCCTGCAGATATCTCTTGCAGCTCCTGCCAGGTGTCCCATCCTCTCACCATGGGTGTCACTGAAGAGGTGGCCGTCAGTGCCTGTCATAGCTCCTTTGTTTTTCTACTCAGTTCCTCTATGGACCACACTCTCTGCAGTGTTGTAACTTCTACCATGTCTGCTGTGTCCTCCTGCTTGGACAACTCTTTACTCCAGCTGCTGCTAAAGTATCATTTCCAGTGTCTCTTCCTTCTCTCCAGCCTCCTCAAATCCTGGTCTGTTCCTGTCTGCGCAGTGCAGTGCCTGACCTCATGCCACGCAGTGCAGTACCCACCCTACCAAAACCCTGCCAGTTCAGCCCCATAGGCAGAGGGAGAGAAGTCAGAGAGCGTGGCTTCGTGTGTTATTTTCGCATCATTAACACACCATAAGAGGAAGCAAGTAGCTCATCAACTAATGTTGTAGAAGTTCATACCTTCTCTTCAGTGGCCTTATTATTTTTACAGTAACTAAGAAAACAGAATCCTAGGCTTGAGAAGTTGTAAATATGGCAATGAAGAAAACTTTGGAGTCATAGTAAACGACAGTGTGGGGAAGAGAAAGGTCTTCAGCACTAGTGTTGGTGTGATCTGGAACTTCTAGACCTGTCAAAGAATAGATACTTAAGCTTCTTTTGTGAAAGCTTGAATCAGTCTAACATATAGAAAAGTGAAACCTTAGATTCTTAAATTCAGTAGTCTGCATTTTTTTTTAAAAGCATGTGTTAAGATGTGGAAATTGAAACAGTGGCTGAAAACACTGTTCAGCTCTTGGGACACAGGCTTTTCTCCTAAGCCTAACCTAGGACTCATCATGTATCAATGAATGGATTTCTGTGTCAATGATTAAAAAAAAAAACTGGTGTGACTCTACCTGCTGAAGTGGTATTTCTCATGCTGCTTTAGTGCTCACATTGCAACTCAAATCCAGGAGGAATTAGCACTTTTTTTTTTTTAAGTCTGTGTTTGATCATTGTAATGTTGCAGTCTAAGCCAATTAAGAACCCCTGTGTATTAGCCTTTATGTTTCTGCCATGCCTGAGCGGACATTTCTAATAATCAAACTGTGTTACTATGGCATTCATGTTAGTTTTCTTTCTCTTTGGTCAGCATCAGGATATTTCTGGAAAAATTAATGACTTCTCTTTGTAATTAGTGATGTTTTCTTGTCTTAGTTCCTCTTAGTTTCTTTAATGAATACTAAATACTTTCTGGTAATGAAAGAATGACAAAAAGCTGAAGGAGGAAGAGAAGAAAGAGTAAGGACCTGATAATTTTTTACCCAGTTGTTTTTTCTTATTTAAAGCAATTTTCTTCTTCCTACTTCCTTCTTCAACTGTATAGAGGAAAAAATAGATCTTATTTTTTTTAATATATCATAGACTATATATTATGTAATATGCTATACAGTATAGTTTATATGTATATTAATTGTCTGAGCACTTAGCAAGGGAAAAGGAAACTATTCTATTTAAGTAATACTAATTATTAATTATTAATGTCCTGTAACTAATATTACTTCAGTTGAATTAATTGAAACTTGCAGGCTGGGCGGAGGGTTTTATGTTCCGTGTGGATAATGGGAGAACAAAAAGTCTGAGTAAAGATTGATCAGCTGAAATTGTAGATCTTGTATATGTTTTATATATTACATTTGTTTGTTTCTGAATGTTTTAACAAATCTAAAATTTAAGTATCTCTACAGTGTGTTGCTATAAAAAGTATTGATAATGTAGTTGTGCAGCAGCTTTGAAGGACCTCAGTGGCACATCAGTGACTGATTCTGTAACGTGTTTAGTCCTGTAGACATAGGGTGCCTAACATTTGTTGGAAGAACTATTCATTATAAATGTTTATTAGCGAGTGTCAGAACATTGATTTAGTTATAGAGGCATCTGAACTTCAGTGTCTTTGTCAGAAAAAATCCTATTTACCTCAGCAATCTGGCAAAATAGTGGTTTATCCAACTAGTTTGATGAAGGGAGCTATGCTTCTTCCACAGTGTGTAGAAAGCTAGTTGTGCAGCAAAGCTGTAGTTTCAGTTAAGACACGGAAATAAAATACTGTAACTCTATTTTATCAGAAGTGATTAAAAAAGCATAAGTAATCGTCACTTACGCTGTTCCATACATAGATATAATGTCTATGTCAGACCCTGAACACGTCCCCTGCAAAGCGCTCTGATTTTTCTTTGAGTGAGTCTGCTGAGCAATCAGCAGGAGTGCACAGGCCACCTTGTCAAAAAATTGAGGTTATTGAGGTGAGTCTATGGAATATTTTTGTGCGAACACAGCGGGAGACTAGCAACTAAGGGCTGAACAATCGGACCTTTTCTGACACTCACACTTGCTTGAGTTGTATAGTTTTTGCCTACCTTTTATGTATCAAAATCCTAACCTGTGGTATGTTGGGAAGTCACAGATATGTGACAGAATTGAGTATCAGGGATGGTCAAACATATATTCATTCTTGTTAGTTAATGTGGTTAGAGCTTTTATTTTCTCCTTTCAATGTCAATCTTAATCCAAATAATCATCAGGTTTCTTAGATTTTTGGTTTGATGAGCTCTTTAACTATCCAGAGTTAAAGAACTGGCTGCATTGAGTAATATGCATCACATTATATTTGTATATGCTTTAATTGGGAGGTAAATGCAAAATGTATTAATATTGAAGACAAGAACTAAAGTGGTTGCAGATACTCGAAAGAGCAATAAGAATTAGCGTAAGCATTCTGTTAAATGAAAGGGCTATAAATGTCACCTCTGCATAACCTTTGCTCGTGTGCAAGAAGTTGGGACTGTGAAAACAGCTGCCCAACCTCCTATGGCTTGAGGATTTAGAAAATGAGTTAGTGGTGAGGGTACAATAACTTTTGTATGGAGGACTAGCATATCTTTTGATACCCCCTTGCCTTCCTTCCTTCTCCTTTAGCTATCACTGAAACACTGTTTCACTGTCTTTGATCAGTATCGTTTCTGTCACTTCTTCCAACACCCAACGTAGGAGAACACCACATCTGGCAGATAAGCTTCAAGGAGCCTTAAGTTCAAGTAGAGTCAATGATTCTGCTGCTGAAAGCAGCTGTTCTCAAGCTGCTCTTGCTTACAAGCAGTAGGGTTATTTCTGAGGATTCGCATATGCCCCTTTGCCTTGAGGCCAGATTAAAACCCTTTGAGTAACAAAAATCCCAATTTTTTTCTTCTGCTTTTATTTTGGGTAGAAAAATGAATTAAAAACTTACCCTTTAAAGGGAAGTCAGGGCAGGGATAAAGAATATATTTCTTCATATCCTGGAAATGGGAGAAAACAGGAGTAGAAAAAACCTAAAAAATTAAATGCAACATAAAGTTCTGATGCTTAGTGTCTCTGGGATTTGATGGCAACGTTCCCTGAAGAGTACAACAGTCTTCGTCACTAGAATGTAGCTAAATTTATACTGACAGCCATCTTAGTGATACTAAAGTATTTTTTGATTTCTTTGCAAAACTCTATGTCCTGGTAGAAAAAATGGGGAAAATAATTTGTAAATTCTGAAGTACAGTAGAGTTTTTAAACTTATATAAGTTTATTTGCAAAGCAGTTAACTTTGAACCATGTATATTATACCTATTTAGTGTTGTTAGGAAAATGTTCAGGTGTGAAGTTCCAAAGAATGAGTGTTTCACAGGACATGTTCCTGGTTCTAAATAGTGATAGTTTTAAGAGTAGTTGCATTGAGTCAGCCAGTTCAGTTTCAGATTATGACTTAAAATTGATTAGAATAATCAGACTAATAAAAGATTTTTGAAAAGAAGGGGATTTTGAAGTCGTGTGTATTCCACAGTGTGCAGTGTAATGAGCTGAAGTTACAGATGTATTAATGCCAGTTAGTTTAAAGGTATCGACAGAGGGTAAGGACTGAAGAGATTCTGGGACAGGGCTGAATCAGAGGTGCCTGTCTTTATCTGACTCTACAGCTGGTTGCTGGTTTTTTGCCTTAGAAAGTATGCATTAATTTGCATATATATATGTTAATGCACTTATCTACTCTATGGAGCAACACATACAGAAGTTCTTAGGGAAAAAAAATACCATGCAAAGTGAAATGTGTACATCCCAGTGGGCACAACTGGCAGATAAACTTGAGTGCAATGATAAGATATACAAATTAAGTTCAGGATTTTTACTCTTTGTCCTTAGGGAACAACCCATCTTCAGCACCCGAGCTCACGTCTTCCAAATTGACCCAAACACTAAGAAGAACTGGGTTCCCACCAGCAAGCATGCTGTTACTGTGTCCTACTTCTATGACAGCACAAGAAATGTCTACAGGATAATCAGTTTGGATGGCTCAAAGGTAAGTTTTGTTTCAGAAGACTTGCCTGCTTCATCAATTTTTGTATTTATTTTCTAGTCTGACCTCCTTGTCTTCTCAGATGCTTTTATCACCTGAATAACAGATTACTGACATGTTAAAATGGTACCATTCCTTCATTATGTGTTTTAAGCGTTTATCGGAAAACACTGCTGAATTTAATGATGACCTGTTACTTTGTTAATATTATGAGCAGGCTAAAAAAGACGTTCCCTGTGAGATGCACTAAGAAGTGCAAATGAGGTTGCAGTAACCTGTTTTCATCTCTGTATTTGGTGATGTATTGGTATCGCTAGCTTCAGCTTTATGAAGGACATCTGTCCAGTGCCCATAATTACTTAGTAAATCCCCTGTTACATAATCTTTCCAATTTTTGCTGTAGAGAATGTGAGGATTCCCTCCTAATAAAGATCACCATGGTAAGGTTTTATCAAAACTCAGTTGGACTGGGGGTTCTTTTTTGGGGGGGAGTGTTTTTCTTTTCTTTTTTTTTTTTTTTGTTAGGAAGGACAATATTGTAAGAAACTTTGTCTAAGAAATTGACAGAGAGAATGTACTTGACTGTTACTTAGTTTCTATCCCAAGTGGATGTAGAACCAGTGACTTCACAAACAGCATGCCAGAAAACTGCAATAACGACCTTAAAGGTACACAGTGTAATCAAAAGCTGTAATCCTTTCATTAGATTTTCATTTGAAGGTTCTGGAGATGCATCAGTTCATGATGGTTGGAAATTAAATGCTCTGTTAGAACATAGCAGTATTCACAGAGATTTTGTGGCTGTTTAATGAAAGCTGAAAAATATTACCTTGGATGTTTTAAAACATCCAGAATATTGCTATTTTAAATGAGGAAGGAGGATTTCTGTTGTAAAGAAGTATGCCAAAATAGATCTCATAGTTGAAGATCTCTGTGTGATACTGCTTAAAGTAACTGAGAGTGGTATCAAAACCTACCAGAATTTTCCCAAGTTTAAGTCTTCCTCTGTTTCTTCCCTTCCCAGCCTTCCTTCAAATGATTCTTTTACTTCTGTCAAATAATTAAGGTATCTTCTTTTTTTGTGACTGTTTTTAAAGACTTTGGTATTGGAACTAGATCAAGATTATCAGTTGTAATCTGTAGCACCTTAGCTGATCTGCACATTTTACGATATCCTTACTCTGGTATCAACTGATGTTCTTCTACCTTTGTCCAAAGTTGCCATTCCTGCAAAGAGGCTGCTGAGTTAAATTCTCAAGCTGTTTTTCATCTATTTATTCTTTCACCTACTGCAGCATTTCCATTACATTTGCAATACTGTTGGTAAGGTATATTGATAATGCAATCTATCACTTTTGTTTACTATCTCTGTGATTGCTGCAATCCTAGTAATATTTTCATTCAGGTTTTAGATGTCTGACCAGTTGTTCTGGGCATTGCAACACTGCTCTGAAACATAGACAGGTGAATAGCAGGGGGACCTGTGGAAGAATTGTAAGAATGTTTTCAGCATAATTCTGAGATAATTTTTTTTGTGTTTAATTGAAGCACCATGTCTGCACATATACAGTGTAGTGTGTGCAAAAAGTGAAATATAAAGCATTCTTAGTTTTGGATTCCATCCATAGTGTCTCTGCTATATAGTATACAGCTGAGTGTCGGTAACACTACTGGCATCTGAGCTTGCAGTGCCTTATACTGTTGATTGGTCAGACAGAAACTTTAACTTTACAAAGGAGAAAGAGCTATGCAATTGATTTCTCCCATTTTAAGTTTTGAAATGAAACTGCATAAAGGTGATTTTGTGTTTTTTTGTTTTGTTTTGTTTTTTAATCAAATTTTACACTGAAAGTATCTCAAATGCACATGGTACCAGTGACCAGAAACACTTGTTGAATCGTATTGGTTTTGAAGCTGTTTCCCTTGGAGGGAATAGATCCAACCAGGTTTTATTTTATACCCTGGTCCTGGCAGGATTTACAGCACCCTGTGGGTTTGTACAGTGGAGAGAATGACATGCATGTGGCTGCTCACTTACAGCAGCTCAATGTTCTGAGCAGTAAGTTGGCAAGTGATGACAACTCACATGTATGTTCACTTAGACTGCAGTAAGGAAAGTTTGAGAGAAATATTCTTCAGATTTGAGTAATAATAATCTTGTTTCTATCTCATACCTTTCCTTCTCTTTAGGTAGGTATGATTCCCAGATAAAATGTAACTTCTATACATTGTCTGAAAGTCATTAAACCTTTCTTCTTCAAAACAAAAGGACATTTTTAAGACATGATCTTCACTGACCTCTGAGGGATGCTACTGTGCATTTTGGATTCCCACTTAAACTTGCTTATGGGGGTCCTAGGTGTATTTTGAGAGAGAAGGGGCTTTTTTGTGTTCCATATTGATAAGTCTATGAGCCAGGTTCAGCTGAGACAGTCCTATAGAAGAAAATTCTGCATATTTTTATTGTATTCTTTGTAATGTTATTTTCTGAAGCTGTGATGTCCTCTTAAAAATACCTTGCACAAGAAATAGTGCATCTCCTTCTAACTTGCCTCCAGAAAATAATCAGTGTACAGGCCACATCTGATTTTTACTTATAGTATCAGGATTCCTGTTGCCTATGGCAAAGAGAGCCTGATGCAAATAATCTGATAGAGTTTGAGGGTGATTTCTGTGACCTCCTGAGTAACTATCTTTTATGCAACCATTTTCTCCTGCCACTCTAGTAATCAAGAGAAAGCCTAAAAAATAAAATTTCGTATGCATTATGACATGACAACATTGAGCAGTAGTTGCTAAGGCTTTCAGTTTTCATTAATTATATAGTCATTTCATAGCTCCTTTGAAAAATGTGTTCTGGTACTTCTTTCTTCTAGGTGATGGAAGGAATCATAGAAGCCTCCATTATTTCTCCATTGACACTGGAGATAAACACTAGCATTTCTTCCAGAATCCTGCTGTCTTTTCTATTTGAGATCTACCAGTCACTAAGAATGGAAGAGAGATCAACTAATGATTCCTGCAGCACTAATTTACTCTATAATTTTTTCACAGATGAAAGATAGGAAAAAATCCCTCATAATTTGTTGTTATCTAAAACAAGAGAAGACTCTGGAAAAGAGTGGTATTCCAATCTGTAGGTTCCATGGGCCTTGTATGTGTTATTTCTGAGTCAAGTCTCCCATTAGTATTACTGCAAGATAGGCCCTTTACATTTTAATGACTGTTGTAAAATAACCTAGTCACACATTAAAGTGATAACTTGTTTAATGCAAAGTACAGGTTTTAAGTAAGACTTGTAAGCACAGTTCTTTGGTGGTCTTCCTTTGAAGAAGTTAAGAAGTAGAGTGTGTGTTAGTTATTATTGCCATCAATTTTAGTACAAGATAAAATCTTATTTGACCACGGCTGTATACCTTGTAGTTGTTACATTTGCAGTCACTAAAACGAACAGCTAAGACACATGCCCTATTTTCCGATAGCTGAACTAACACAAAAGGAAAACATGAAAGCTATTTTATTATTCCAACAAAATCTAAAGATAACAAAATTAGTTTTCTTCAAAAGTTAAGTGTCTGCTTGTCAGATTGACTCTGTTCTGTTTTAAAGATATTCTTGTATGTTTTTACTAACAACATTCTTAAAAGTTGCTGAAATATTTGACACTTGTTACACTGATAACTCCACAATGAAATCTGGAGTAGAGGTGAGCTGTTAAAGGAGCACCTTTCCTGAGTAGGCAAGGCAAGCTTAATTTTAAATTCTAATTTAGAAAAATACATCTTCATTTTTTATAAGCTGAAGATATGAAGGATTCATATCTAATATATTCCAGCAGTAACTGACACTGACTTTATCTGTGGTATGCTCTAGCACTGCACTTTTTAAAACCATAGTTAATTTAGCATGTGAGAGATCTAGCATGCTTTTAATTCGAAGATGATTGAAAGACTTGATTTCCTTGTAAAAGTCGTAGATCTAATGAAAGGGTACTTTTTTGTATCACTGGGATCTGAATGCAGTCTTCCCAGTGAGAAACTTTGGACTAATACCATCTGCTGGAGCAAAGCCTCCTAATTTTTCTCTGATGGAAAATAAGGGACTCACAGCAACTCTTTCTCAATGCAATTACTTTTTTAAAAGCTTTCTTCCTACCTTCCTTGCAAGGAAGCAATTTGACAGTCACTGCAACCCAGCCTAAATGCAGACTGCTGTTGAAACAACTATCCCGTTTTTGTTCAGACAGCCTCTTCTGGGTTTTCTCGTGTGCAGCCAGCCACATGGTCAGCTGAAGCAGTGAGCAGACTTAGCTCTGAAGAGTTTTGGGGTTTTTTTGCTGGGTTGATTTGCAACCAGATAAGCCACTGTCACTGCAGCAAACACCAGTCCTGCGGGCTTTAAACCTGCCTGTTACTTGGACATCAGAGTCACCTTCTGCATTAAGGTAGAAGACAAGAAGCATACAAGAAAAGAAGACCTCCAGAACATGTCCTTTCCAAGAAGTCCATCTCCCTGTATCACATTATCTCCTCTGTCCTACGTTGCATGGACAAGAGCTGTGGAGCAAGTGCAAGCCTGCTGGTGCTATTTGGGCTCCGAACGTTATACCTGAAGAAAGGACAATTATGTCTGATTTACCAGTGACCTCAGTGACTGACTTATCTTATATAACAATCTGAGGAGATATTTCATGGGTAATTAGTGTTGGAGATGATAGTTCTTCAGTCTCTGATCGCACAGCAAATTCTCCCCTTAACCCTGATGAGGCTTGTTGGTTCCACTGTAAGCATTCAAGCACTCTAAAATTTTCCAGTTGTTCACAAAGGTAGCCAAAGCCTGCATTTTGAGGCAGAAATTACCAGAGAAGACTGCCAGCTTGATATGCTCAGCTACATCCAATTTAATTCAAGTGTAGTGGAGTTGCCAAAACCACTACAGAAGATGCCAATTTTGGTAATTTCATCTGTACTTCAGTATCTTTGGTTGTCTTTCTATGTGTTGTGATACAATGTGTTCTTTTGAACTTTCTTGCAATACTTCTCTCTGCCACTTGATCTGAGAATCACCGTATGCATATGGGAGCTTTTTGTAGGCCTAGCCGGCCTCTGCACTGTAGATATTTCAGGCTTGCCCTTTAGAGAAAATTTTGTGTTGATGGTAGCTGTCCTCCAGTACTACCCAAATCTCAGCAAACTCAAGGAGTGCAAAGTAAACTCCATAAGTAATTTTAATATCTAGATTAAGGGCCAGAAGATTAATCTAGGTTAATATCCGGAAGGCCACATAAGTAGTATAGACTGATTTTGAGTTCTTTAAAATCATAGAATCATAGAGTGATTTGTTGGAAGGGACCTCAAAGATCATCTAATTCAAACCCCTCTGCCATGGCAGGGACATCTCCCACTAGATCCCACTAGGTTGCTCAAGACTCCATCCAGCTTGGTCTTGAACACTTCCAGGGATGGAGCATCCACAACCTCCCTTATCTCTAGTCTAAACCTGTGCTCTTCCAGCTTCCACCCATTACCCTTCATCCTATTGCTACAAGCCCCTGTAAAAAGTCCCTCCTCAGCCTTCTTGGAGGCCCCCTTCGGGTACTGGAAGGGTGCTATAAGGTCCCTCTGGAGCCTTCTCTTTTCCAGGCTGAACAAGCCTAACTCTCTCAGCCTGTTCTTGTAGAAGAGGTGCTCCAGCCCTGTGACCATCTTGGTAGCCCTCCTCTGGACTCACTCCAGCAGCTCCAGGTCTTTCTTGTGTTTGAGGTTCCAGAGCTGGACACAGTATAAGTAGGGGGCAGAATCACCTCCTTCGACCTGCTGGCACATGTCTCTTGATGCATCCCAGGATATGGTTGGCTCTCTGGGCCACAAGCGCACACTGTTGGCTCATGTTGATCTCACCATCCACCAACATGCCCAAATCCATCTCCTCAGGACTGCTCTCAATCCACTCATTGCCCAGCCTGTGTCTATACTTGGGATTGCCTTGACCCAGGTGCAGGACCTTACACTTGGTCTTGTTAAACTCCATGAGGTTGGCCGGGGCCCACCTCTCAAGCCTGTCAAAGTCCCTCTGCATGGTGTCCCTTCCATCCAGCGATTTATAAGATAAGGCTTGGGAGAGCTATATTTGGTCTCTCTGATCTTGAAATTCCTCACTGTCCCCATTGTGAGAAAGTACTGTTATTCTCTGTACGTCTATACTGTTCCTGTTATTCCCAGAAAAAAACAACAGCAGCATTATTTAAAAAGAGAAGGTGGTTTGGACCGTGTTGATTTTGCTGCTGCTCAAAGATTCTTCAGTAATCACTGGCTTTAGCCAGGATCTTCAAAAGAATCCCAACTTGGTACTGTAAGACAATTGCAGTGGGACGTGTATTGACAATAACCTTTGTTGCACAGTAACTGGCATGTAAGAAAGATTCTTACTGAGTTCTTCTTCTCACAGTGTGTGCTATTTTCTGTAAGGTTTTAAGGACGTTCTCTTTCATGTGGTTGTTAAAAAGCACCAGCAATTTATGAGCAGGGCTATGAATTATTTAACAGATGTGGCTGAAACTCTTACTAGCACCAGAGAGATGTGAAAGCATGCCTGCATTTCACTTGAAATACCCGTATGTTTGGATTTTTGGCTTGTATTTCTTATTCATGTTGGCTGGTTGTAAACTACTAACCAATAGTGTTCCAGTTGTATGGAACCCATTGGTGTCACTGTTAAGACTTTATCCTGACATACTCTTAAGTCAGCTGGACAGTTCCACATTGCACATTTACAGTATGTTAGACAAACTTTATTGTGATGGGAATCCACTGTAAAACTTCAGTTGCTTTTAGTGAAACCAGCATATTATCTAATAGTTACATATTTTGTATGCTGGAGGACGTGCTTCTTCCATTCTATATTTAAGAAGAACTGGTGAAGAAAAATGACTCTTTAAGAGTAGCTCTTCTTCTGTAGATGGTGTAGGACCGTGTCAGCATTAAGCATGTGTGTGTATAAAGGGAAAACAGATTCTTGTAATATAGAAACTTAAAAAGAAATTGTGCTTCCTGTTTTATTGTGCGTTTTCCAGTGAGAATCACAGATGCAGCAAGGGTGAAGGGAATGCAACAATTAAGCTTACAGTGGAGCTTGAGGGGCCTTAGGGTTCAAAGAAATATGCTATTTCTTCTATTCTGATCTCATTAGCCTTTGCAGATGCTTTAAAGGACTCTTTTTAGACATACTAACTACTAAAATGATTACTTGCATTTGCAAACAGGTGCTGCACCACAGCTTTTGCTTCTTTTATAGAAGGAATGCAAAAATGTGCTATTGTAATTTTAGCTGTGATTGAATTAGAAAACTGTTCCCTCGTTCCCAGTGTATGTCTCATTCAGTATACACAGATACTCAGCTACGATATTTGCATTTTCAGTTATGAGCAGTCTTTAAAAAAAAATCAAACCCACAAACCCCTTATTTTACAACTATTACTTTTTTTCAGGCAATAATAAATAGCACTATCACCCCCAACATGACATTTACTAAAACATCCCAGAAGTTTGGCCAGTGGGCAGACAGCAGGGCGAATACAGTCTATGGCTTGGGATTTTCATCTGAACATCACCTTTCAAAAGTAAGTATGACCAGTGGCAACTCTTCAGATAGTCAAGTGGCTTAAGAATATTTATTCTTGCTCATTGTATCTTGACTCAGTGCTCACTGCTGTTGTTATTTAAAAATAATTTGGCAATAAAGTTCTGTATTGATCCTTATAAAAATAAGAAGACAAAACATGATACCTGCAAGTTTTCTTTTACCTGATGAAGGAAAGGAGGGAGATTTGAACTCTTGCAGTGTGTGTTGCTAATGCTTTCTAGTTGTTAATTTGTTAGGCTTCTCTTTTTTTAAAGTTGTTCTTCCATTACAGTTTTTTATTATAGAATTTAAAGGAAGAGACAATTTAGTGTTTCTTCTGTATTTAGATCTACCGGAAGAAAAATTGTTAGTAGTCTTCAGATGTACTTTGGTCTTTTAAATCATGTTCACTTTCACTCTTCTAGTAAGTGATGCATCAGATTACAGATACTTCATGTCTGCAGGCTGAACGTAAAGCTAGTGGTAAATATATTCAGTATAAAAGAAAGGTATCTTTTGCACAAATTTTGGAATGTTTACTAAAGAAACTCTATGCCATACGCAAGTTTATTTTTCTGGTCTACTTGTGCAGGAGTGCACCTTATTCAGAGGCATGCAGTAATACCTATTGCTGTTGATAATACTGGAGTAGATGAGTCCAGAAACTTGTACAAGCTAGGGTAATTTTTCTCCCTGTGAGGGATCTCAATTCAGTTTAAGAACATGTCTCTACAATAAGCAGAGGATTTTCATCTTTGAAGTACACATAGGTCTGGAAACTCAAGTGTGATAAAAAGAAATGCATAAGATGTTTAAGTAAGAAGTAATGATTGGCTTATTACTTAAAAAATTTAAAAATCATACCAGCCCTTTTGAGAAAATTACTGCCACTTTCCAAGGATAAGCATGGGACTATTAGAAAACCATTAAAATGAGAACCAGTATATCTGCTGTATTTGGACAACTGTTACACTTGTAAGATTTCTTCCTTTCATAATCAGATAACTTTCGTTTCCATGAAGCAACACAAACACAGGAAATTTTGAATGATACTAATATTGCATGTGTGTTTGTGCACCCATCATTGCTTCAGTGAACTTGGAAGCTTTGTCACTTAAATTGGTGTTTATGTGCTAATAACATTTCTTAATATTTCAATGGATTTAGCATAAATTCATTTAGTTTACCTCTCTCATAGGCTGGCTTGTCTTCCTTAATCATAGATTGCTTCTTTGGATGTAAAGTATGCTCTAGTCATGCACACTCTGCGTTTGTCTGATAAAACTAGGTTATCCCTGCCAGTGAAAATATATTGTGTTTTTATCTGTCCTACACTTGGTTCTTTTCTTGCTCCCCCATGTGGTACGTACTTCCTTTTAATTACAGTTGTTGAAACCCCATTCATTTACTGCCCTCGGACGGATGTCTAATTGTTAAGTATATGCCCTTGGCTTAAAACTTCATGTTGCTGTTGAAAAAAAAAAATCTGAAAAGCCAAAGTATAGATTTTGGTTTAAGTAGATGTTTGATTAAAAGTTGCTTAGATTTCTGTGTTTTATGAAAAATACACAGAACTGTTGTGAAAAATACCAAGTCAAAGACCTTTTTTGAAGAGTGTGGTGATGAATCTTCAGGACCTTTTCAGCAAACTGTTCCTATTATATTATATCTTAATTATCAGACTGATATTCATGTGAGTTGAAATTCCTGATTGTTGCTATGGAATTTCGTAAAGGTAAAAAAACATTTTGTGTTATTTTAAAATTAACAAGCAGATCTGACAGGGGAAATGAAAGTTTTCTTCAGTTTACAATCTATTCAGTCGCTGGAGTTGTTAGGTATGTTGGTCTTGGAATCAGAAAAGCTGAATTAGAAACCCTGAATCTGTTGTGTAGCATTAGAGAAAGCATGTCTATATTCCCTTTCTTGTCTTATCTCTCTTTGTCCAGATTACGAACTTTGTTTTCTGTGCACTGCTATTGTAACTGGATTTACAAAATCACTCTGGTACACCTAGAACTGCAGAACATGAAATCTAATTTAGAGCTCAAGTTACTACTGGATATTAGTAATAGGGCTAACAAATAAACTGTATTAATTCAACTATTCAGAAACAGGTTATTTCTAGAAGTTGCTTTGAAAACTTATTCTGGAATTTCTTTTCTGTATTTCATTTATCAAAGTCCTTGAAGTGAATGGCCCTATTGTATGTAATTTGTTTTGCAGTTGGGTCTTTGTCCCGGTGAAATATTTCAAGTTTCAGAGTGCAAGAGACAGCCTGTGACCACAAAAAACTTGTTCTAGTCTGTGACTGGTTTCAACAGGTTAATGAAGCAAATAATCAGAGCTGGTAAAATAAACAGTTCTCAGATCGTTGTCTGCTTAGCTTATAGTAAAGGTTTGACTATTGGACCATTCATTTTGGTTTATATGTCTTTGTCCTCGTAAACTAATTACTAGAGTAGAGTGCAATAGTGGTAACCTTTTCATGTGCAATTACTGTGACTGAGAATTAGCAGAGTGAGAATATCTGATAGATGAATAATGGCACTCTAATCAGCTTCACATACAAACAGTGTAGAAGAAAACTGATTAAGCATTTGTCTTCATTAAACATTTTCTCAATTTCCTAGACTACAAATTCACCTCAATATTGTTGCATCAGAAGTCAGTGATGCCTGAAAAGTGATTCCTATGTTGAAGAATATTCCTTTCACAGAGTCAGGATTTGCTGGCAGTCCCTTTTGATGCTACATTAGGAGGAACAGAATGCCTCATGATTTTTAGAAAAAAATGAAATTAATTTATCATTCAGAATATAAGTCTATGCTTTTTATACTACACTGATGTGTGAGAAGAAATACTCCTTTTCAGGTTTGCTGTCTGTCTTGCCCCTTTGAATTAGTCGGTTTATTCCATGTAACTTAATAGTACGCTAAGTAGCGAAAGTGCCACCATAGATACTTGCAAGGGCCTCTTATATACCTCCTTGCACAAGTTTTCATTTCTCCCTGAAGTACTGATGCTTCAGAAAATCTTTCCTTTCATAGTACAAAATCTTGTCTTTGTTTTTCAGGAATTTGATCAAGATATTACCATTAAACATCATCTGACTATCTCAAGGAATTCTAGGAAATTTGTGAAACTTTCCACTACATTAGGCTTGTTGGCTCTTTGTTAGAATTTTATCTATTTATCTGTCTGTTACATATTTTTTTACAGTTTCTGCCACTGTGGTACAGAGGATATTTAGTCCCTTGTATGTCTTCAGTTATGTATTCTAAACCTCAGCACTATGTATTTCATTTACCAATTCTCTGGTCTTAAGGATGGTTTAAGTAACAGATTACCCATCAGATTTTGAGGTCTACATACAAATCTTAAATAAGTGTCATCTAGTTTTGATGCTCTGTTGGTGATTTTATCATCTGTTCTGAGAGTTTCTTTGATGCTGGATTAGACTTTCAGGGTGTTATCTTTTATCTCCTTCTATATTCAGGAAATGAACAAACTGACAGATGAAGTATAGGATACTAGTGGAGAAAAATTATATTTCCTCAAATACTAATAGCCTACCAGGAGGAGAAGTTTACACAACGGGGTTTTTTAGGTCTTCTGTAGCAAGTGAAGTTCTGATTGGAAATAGTTTTGGAGATTGTGTCACACAAAGGGTGGCTTTCATTCCTTCCGATAAGATAATTTTCTGCAGTAGGAAACAAAAGATAAATGCCTGGCCACTATAGTAATTAGTGTAGTGTTGAGCTGAGATCTGTGAAGCTAAATTTTTCTCTAGCCAGAGAAATAAATTGATTTAATTTCTCAACTTTAAGGGGGCATATATTTTGTATTTCTAAATTGTTGCTCTAGTTATTTTCTGAAAGAAGTACAAGTAGCTTAGAAATTAAGCTTCATAGAGCAGTTCAATGTGCAATTCTTGAGGTTAGTGTTCAGTACATACAAGTGTTTAGTTAATGAATTTGTTCTTTAACTTGATCAATGTCAATGAACAATCAAGAATAAGCTTGACGCAGTATTCCCGCTGCTACTGTCTTTATTAGCTGTTGAAATTATAAATGAAATGTAGGAAGAAATCACTATTGTTTCAGTTATGAAGGAATATAGCCCATTGAAAACTCTAGGCTCACAGTGACCACACTAGGCTTCGGAACCGAATCGTTCGTTATCAGGAGAAAAGTAAAAACTGAATCTGAAAGCAGATACGACAGGTGGCTTCTCTTTATTATTAGCCATTTCTGAGGTGGGGTTTTTTAACAATATCAGCAACAGATCAAACTTTGTATCATAATTTCCCAGATACATAAACAGTGTACCTTGTTTCTGAAAGGTGCTGAAAGGTGTATCACTCTGTAACTTGCTTAAATGAGTGTCTGACAAGGAGGAAAATTGAACAAATCTACTGACAGAATTTAACTTTGTAAAATGTTAAGTACAGCATTCTGTTCTGCATGTAATGTACTACTCAACGCCTACTCTTTCTTTTTTCTCATTTTTTTTTAACATATGTACCTTCAGTTTGCTGAAAAATTTCAGGAATTCAAAGAAGCTGCACGACTTGCAAAGGAAAAATCCCATGAAAAGATGGAACTAACAAGTACACCCTCTCAAGTGAGTCTCATGATTAAAACCTAATACTTCATATCTGCTACTTACTGCATTGTATCTTAACACATGTGTTGAATTAAGAATAAATGGGATATTTCCCAGTTACCTTGAATTCTCTTGACAGCTGGAAGTGTCAAGTCTAAGAAAATATTTAACGTACACTACAGAAGTGTCAAGGGGACTTGCTTTAAAATAAAATTGGCTTTTTGCTTATTTCCATTCCTTTCTTTGATCTTTCTCCAGAAAATGAGCAGTTTTGTAAGTAAATCTATAGTAAACACCTTTTGTGGTTTTTCTTAATGTAGCTATAAAACTTCAGGCAATGCGCTGTAGAGGACTTTTTTATAAAAGAATCATTACAACAGAAGTCAAAGTTAAAACAGCAAACTATTTTTACTTGTTTCTTACTGTGTAGTATTTGCTTGTGAATTGCATTGAGGGAAGATGACAGATTCACATACTGGTTCTGGTGTTGTATTAGAGTTAGCCATGATGTAAAAGAAAGGTTTATAAAAGGTATCTGAAAACATGAGGTGGGTTAATATAGGCCGAACAGGAGGATAAATTAATATAGTCACATTTACATTAGTCATGCCTAAAAATAAATTACTTGAGAACGAGTACTTTGAATTTGCTTTGAAAAAAGAAATTGCATGAGACTTTTATGCCCCTCTACTCTCTCCCTCTCTGCTCAGTGTTTCTGGCTCTGTATGTAGCTATTTCCTTTGTTTTATGCAATACTGAAGACAAAGGTAGTTCCTTCTCTTGGAGGGTGAAACAGCTTTAGAACAACAGCAGGCATTCAGGAGTGAGTAGAATTAATGCAGCTGAGTCTTTTTTTTTCTGGGCAGTCTTCATTCATTGAATCAATGCATCTCTTGGGTGCTTTGCATATGCTCCTGATCCTTGGTGGAAGAAGGATGGCAAGCAGCTTGCAACATGTTGTATTAATAGTTTTATTGCCACCAGAAAGCTACATCTGGTGTCCTTCCAAGAGAAGTCAGTGGAAACCACAAGGATATACACAGTGAACCAACCTCATGTCATTTTCCCAGTAGGCATTTTGCCCAAGTGCTGGGTTGACTTTGCTAATAACAAGAAACGGCTTGCTGTACTGTAACAGGAGAAGAATAGAGCAGTCCTTTGTTATTAGTTTTCTTGTCAGTCCCTTAAATTTCTGATAAATTCCATAAATAAACAAAGTGATAATGGAAGTAGGTATTTCATTATTGTGACCTGATAGACCCTTGGATTTGGAAACAGTGAAGTGCTTCAGCCGGGCTTCTACTTGCTCAATATTATGGACAAAACAATTACTCTGCTGCTTTTTTTGACACGCTGATTAGTAGTCTGGACTCAGAAGTTAAATTTGACATTGCTGAATGGAGTGACTTATTATTTGGTTTGGACATAAATTTAACTACTCAGAGACAAGATGCTTTCATCTAGCAGCTGCACAGGGTTAAAGCTTTCTCTTAAACTATATGAGCTATTAATATCGTTCATTTTCCAGTACAAATTTCCTTTTATACTTGGAACCTAACATTTTATACTGTAGGCAGTTACAGAAATGTTACCTTGAGCAATTCTATAATGCATATTGAGAGCTGCAATTTAATTACTGTGCACTTAGAAATAATTTCATATTCAGGCCTTACTTTTCATCTCTTGGCTTTTCACTGGGCTGATAAGTTAGGGTATTATTCTGAAAGATACAGTTAGCGCAAGTGCTGACACATCAGCATAATAGTTTCACATACTTAATGCTTCTCATTAGTTCCCCAGAGAAAAGGGAGTTGAATCAGTAACTTCAGTTTGGAGAAGATGGAAAATGATGGCTTCATGGCAAACTGTAGCACTTCCATGTTGCTGGCCCTGCTCAGACAGGTTGATAACTGGAGGGAAAGTGGGCGCTTAGTAGTAGGGAGGGAAGGTGGAACCCAAGAGACGTTTGAAGGAGCATTTGTCATTTTGATCATCTGCCAAAAAGTGGCTGCAAGGCAAATAATTCAAGTGTTGCCTTTCTCAGTGCTATTTTTTCCTCTTCCATAGTGATCGTCTGCAGAGAGGGAGAATAAAAGAGGAGAGAGGTATTTTCAGTGGCCAGTCGAGACTTGTATGAGCTTGGCTTTTTTAGAATGCTTTGACAGGAAGGGTGTTGGGAGGTAGCATATGAGTAGCGAACTCTGTAATGGTAAACCAGTTAGCTACATCAATCCCTCTGCTGTCTCAGACTTGCAGATATCATAGAATCATAGAATGGCCTAGGCTGGAAGGGACCTTAGAGATCATCTAGTCCAACCCTCCTGTCATGGGCAGGGACGCCCCTCTCGACTAGACCAGGCAACACATGGGGACCGAGCGGGAATCGAACCTGCAACCTCGGTGTTGGTCCTTGTTGCCAGCACCGCGCTCAAACCACTCAGCTAAATATCCTTTTACATTAAATTAAAAATAAGTAGGACGATACTGTATATCAAAACTGGAAAATATACGTGTCAAATTTTAAATAAACTGTTACATTTCTCTTGGTCCTACTTTAACAAATGCCCTTATTATTTACCAGTTAATTTAAGTACCAGATATGGTACATTGCCTACCCTCTCTGCTACACAATTCCAAAAGAGAAGTAGTACATGTGCTGTTTTCCTCAATCAGTATGTCCCTACAAATTGAATCTTTATTAAAATAGCCCTGCAGCTAGGTTGTAGAGACCTCGGTATTTGCTCTCCAGTATTATTTGATGTAACCCTGCAGATACTATTGGTATGTGTGAGTTTCAGTTCTGAATATCCTGCAGAAGCTACTTGTGAAACTAAGGAGAAATAGAAAACAAGAGAGAACAACAGAAATATGTCAGAAATAGAATATGTATTTGTAGTTCAAGTATTTACCAGATTTAGTCATCTTAAAACTTAAGAACAATCTTATCTAAAGTACACTGAAGTGAGGCTGCTTCTCTAAGGTGTTACAAGCTTTAGTGAAGTGTTAGTATGATTTGGTTAGATATTTCCACCAGAAAAGTGTCTCAGTGTCCAGTAAGTAGTAGTTCTATGTTGAGTATTTTTTGGATGTACCATTTCATCTGATGACATGTTTTCTTTGGCTATTTTTTGGGGGGGATGCTGTGAAACACATAGTAGAAAGAAACAATAAATAGCCCAATTTGCAATTACTTAATAGCAGGAGTTCCTTTTCCCCTAAACTATGCTGCTGCTAATTTTAAACTCTGCATTCTTACTGTTTCTCTAGTACTGCCTGTTCTCCTCCTATTTACCAGCAAGCTTTGCTTTTATTTCCCAGAATATCAGATAATATATAAAATTACTGTTTACTGTAACTGTAAAACGAACTTAGCTTGTCCAGAGAAAGACAGTGGCCTGGACCAACAAATTACAAGAGAGGTGCTGCTTTGTTACATACAAGTCCTACTGAGTGCGCAGTGCTTTCTTGAAATGGACAGGAAAGCATTGTTTCTGTGTCAGAGAGCTTGTACTTTTGGCCCATCTATGTTAAGATGGATTCATGTAATAATACACACTTTACCTGTATCTGGTATGTCTGGAGGTTTCAGTCTAGAAAAAAGTTGTCTGTTTTGGTACTTCAAGGACTACCTGTGCACCCCAGCTGATCTAAGCCTTGGGTAATAAAACTCGTGGCTCCCCAGCTGTGCCACTTCCTATTTCACAGTCTCATCTTTAATGTAGGAAATTATTTTGGTCATGCCATGAACTCATGAATCTTAAAATGGCAAGCCACCCCTGGTTTATTTCCAGTTGCAAGATCACCTATGCACTGAAAGAGCTAGTTCACCAAACCACATGAAGCAACAGTCTGAAAACTCTGTGTGTGTCTGTCTGTCCCCCTCCCTCCCTTTTTTTTTTTTAAACTAGCCTTAATCAGTTTCTAAAATAGAACCAAATAGAGTAGGTTTTGCGGTTTGCAGTCTTCCCGTCAGTCTTGCAACAAACTGGAGTCTGAATCTCTGTTCTTTTTCTCTAAGCAAGAATCTATCCTCAGAAACATCTTTCGACCCCAGACATTTCAGATTAAGACCTCTGTTAATTTCTGTAACTGTGTGGTGAGTAATTTAGTCAAAATAATCTTGTCTGTGATTCTGAGCCTCTCCAGTGAAGACTATTAGGAATAGCTATTGCTGGAAAAGTTTTAGAATTGCAACATTTTTTACTGCAAGGAATGGAGTGGTTTTGACAAAATGGTCATGGTTTATCACTTGTTGGCTTTTTCTTTTTAGAAGTACAAATTTTACTTACAAAGCTTGTGGAAAAAGTAAGTTTCTGGGATGTTACATGAATTTCTATGCTGAAACAAATGCTTCACATGTGTTATGGCATCTGAATGAGTAGCTGGCAGACTTACACCATTGCCAGTCAGTACTGAACATAGAAGCATTATGAAGAACAGGAATG